ATTCAGCATCTCGCAAACAAGCACATGCTTCCCATGCAGGCCGTTGAGGATCTCGAAAAAGTTAGAGAAGAGCTCACCTTGATGACGGCGGAGTGCCAAGAGGGCTTGAAAACCCTTCAGCCTGGCCAGATGAAGGAAAACCTAAGGTTCGATGCGAAATCGTTGGCCAGCACTGTGAAGGAGATGAAGGGCGTCTTCAGCCAATGTGAGCGAATGCACAAGCTTTTCAGCAAGGCCAAGAAATGAAGTCTTGGCCTGTATGTGGGATAGCTGTGTTCAGTCGACACGGCTTGCTTCCAATTAAGTGAAGCTTCTCATGCCGGGCTCAGCTTGAAGCATCCATCCTGGGTGAAAGCGCGCCGGAAAAAGAAGGCAGCGGCCTTAGGGACGCTCTGCGGATGTTTTTCTTGTGTTTTGTTTGCCTGGTTTTTGCAACCCTTTTTTGTTGCTTCTTGTCTTGTGTTCCTGGCCTTTATTTCGCAACACTCCTTTAGTAAACGAGGCTCCTCGGCTTCAGGCGTTGAAAGACCGGAAATATGAAACGTGAAATGGCGCCACCTTCAACTGCGCCATGGCGGCTACAAGCGCAGCATGTCCATGTTGAGACCCTGAAGAAGCAAGCCCGGGACAATCAGGAGAAGCTGATCAAATGTTTGCCAGCATCCCGGCTGATGAGGCACTATCTCTACTTGAGTCGGAGTGAGTCTTGTCAGCAGTTTGTGGGATTCAAAAGTGTTTGCGCATGTGGAAATGAATTCAGAAAACCGCCCTGAACCCAATTTACTTCTTTGGAGTGATGTCACCCACTTGCCATCCATCAAGGAATGGGAAAACGCGCTTGACTTTGCAGATTTGCTGAAACGTGAGCTGAGGTTCCGAGGTGTCAGGTTTTTCCCTAGACCTTAAACCCAAGTACGCGGGTGGGCTGAACTTCCAAGTTCAAATTTACAAATGCAACAACTAAATTCGAGCACGTTCAGCTTCCCTGATTTGGAAAATAGTGTGTCTATAGTAGTCCTGGATACTGCGATTTGTTTCATCCCAATGTTATTTGAGCCAACTGTTGCCTATTGCATATATGCTTTTAGGAAGATGAGCCAGTTCTAATGAAAGGGTATCTTGACAGCGGCCCTACGGACGCTCTGATGTGATTGCTTGTGACACTTTACAAGTAAACAGGCTCAAATTATGTGAATGGTCTCAAGCAGCTATATATCCACCTCACGAACGAATATACATGACGTATAGCATGGTTGAAACACAAAGCACAAACAAAATGACATATAGTCACGACATGTTAGGACAAACGCAAGTCAGAAACAACAGACAAGACAAATATACCCACAAACAACATACATGACGAGGACAAGCGTTTTGAATATAATATAGCTCCTGCCTTGCAGTCTAAATACGACCCCCAGACTATGGAGGAACCGCCACCATGGAAACGTCGGCGAAAAGGTGTTTTGCAGGTGAAGCAGGAACCTGGTGCGGCGAAGCCTCTTTCAGTGGAGAAGAGCCAGTCTGAAAACACAACTGAGGACAATGTCTCTTGCCTCATTCGTATTGCAAGTTTCGACTCAAGTTTTGACTCAAGTTTTGGTTTTCAGACCAAACGTATTTTTGGAAAACATGTCCTTATTGAGAGATACTCCACACTTCCACAACACAGGTCGGAGACGCAAAGACTGAGTCCATTGAAACCGTTGAGGGCTACGGCTACGACCTCAATAAAGAAACCCAGTGGTTGCAGCGGTTGCAGACCAGGAGGAGGACAGCAATCTTTCCTAGTGTCCGACGTGTTTCTGTGGGTACATAAGCACATTTTGTATGACACAGACCTTGGGCTCATCGTATGTTTAACATCAAGAACTGACTCTCAGGCCACTCTTTTGTTTATGTGACAGGACGAAGACGATGCGATTTCTTTTGCAGCATCGAATCCACAAACTGCAGTGCCTGACCATCCCTCTTCATCTTCGAAATTCGTGGAACTAAATATACATACGGACACTGACGATGACGACACGGTGAAAGCTGCAGCAAACTCTTCGTCTTCGAAGAACATGGATGCAAACACAGTGGTTAGTGAGGTGACAGCTGCAGCCAACCCATCGTCTTCGAAGAACACGGTGGTTTCTGCGGTGACAGCTCCGCTACCAACAGAAGTTTCTTCCTGCACTGAGGAAGATGACATCGCTCCTCACATGTCTGAGGCCGAATTGGCACTGCATTGTGCGGATGCCAAGAAATCAGCCCGTAAAAAAACCTATGAAGCCACAGGCCGAAAACGCCGCCGTGGCGGTCAAGATAAAGAATACTATGCTAAATGGTCGCAACCATTTAGCAAAAAACATGGCTAGCTGCTTGAAAGAAAAAAGGAAAGCGGCCTCACGGCCGCTCTGCTGCATCAGAGCGTCCCTTAGGCCGCATAGAAATGTTTTATAAAACTGGTAAATGTTCAAGAGAAAACACGTTTTTTTTGTTAATAAATCGAAAACATAGGAAAAGCAAAAAGCATTTAAAAAACATCAGAAACCACATATTTTAGACATATCTAATTTTTTTACCTAGTTCTAGGTATTTCTAGGTAATTTCTAGCTATTTCTAGCTATTTCTAGCTAATTTCTAGCTAATTTTAGCTAATTTCTAGCTATTTCTAGCTATAAGTAACTTATGTTATAAGTTCAATAAGTTCACTTGATGTACCTCAGCTAGCCTCAAGTACCAAAAGTCACGAAGTACCATTGGGTTCCGTGAGTGAGTTTCGAGCCCATGCTGAGAAGCTGATCTTCGACTTGAAAAGCTGGAGACTCACAACATCAGATTGAACCAATGTGTAAAGTGGATTGAGTTACAAGAACCTCATGGGGTCAAACATGGGGGGGGAAGAAGTTCCATCATTCCGTGCTTGCCGCTAGCCTTACATCCTGAGTTTGACCCCTCCAAAACGGAGATCTCGCAAAGAAAACGGCACACCTTCTTGGTAATTGCTTTCCTCCCGTTGTCCTCCCTGCCTAAGCCCTCATGTGCGAAGACTGGCAAGCTCCCCAACATCACGATGCAGTTGGCTGCGCAGCACAGCATCTGGGCGGTCCATTCCAAACCGCCGGGCTTCGGAAACGCCCGCACCTCTGGTGCCAGGCCGCGCGCAGGTGCCGGACCCAGCGTTTGGTTGGAGTGCGAATTGGACACGAGTTCCCGCGTCCAGCTGTTTGGAGAGGGGTTTGCCCGTTTGGACTTTTCCAAAACCTCTAGGGGGCCAAAAGGAGGTTCTTTCACCAGGTGAGCACCGCAGAACATGCTTGGCGCGCCACCTGCCTTGCCAGGAGTGGTGGGGAAGAGCATCTCTGGACGGGTATCTCTCGGTGCCAAGATTCTTCTGAGAATTCGAAGTGTCAGTTTGTGGAACCCCGCCTGAGATATCCCCCAAAAAGATCTGCAAATACCCTCACCCCTATGAGGAGAGATGTTTGTTTTCCATCCACAAAAGAAGGCTCTCCAAACAGAGTGGAGTATATAACTATTGACTCTGTGACCTTCTCTGAGGGTGTTTTTCCCTGTATATTATCTATATATATATATATCAATCTATATATATATTATATCATAAGGGCAAATACAAGAAGAAATAATGATTTCGCAATAAGGCTCAAAAAAGTGGCACACCCGAATGGTCAAATGACACATGGACACAGCTCCCTCAGCTCCGAATGTCAATCCCGAAGACCTGATGAGGACCCGTGCTCCGTCGCCGTCGTGGCCCAAACAGACCGGAAAAATGGGAGCAGCAACTCCGTCCTGTTTGTGCGAAACAGTCGTAGCTCCTCAGGTTCGGTATGACTGGAGCCTCCCACTCGGGACCCAAGTCCCACCTTAGAAGGTACGACTGGAGCCCTAGGGAGTGGTTAGGAAACGTGGTTCAGGAAGCTCTGGTGGTCGCTCCAAGTGGTTCCGGACCGGGAAGTCTAGCCATGCACTGCATATGATTTCCGCGCGACCCTCCGTCAGCCGCCTCCCTCCCAAGCAACCCCAAAGATTCCCATGGGACTCAAATATCTAGTCCCATTGGGGTGGTTGATGTCAGGGGTCAAGGTATCCCAAATAGGAAACCATGCCGTCCTCTCGATTTGTGGACCACCAGGACTCACGGTCGGGGTGGTTGATGGGCACGCTATCAATGGAAGCCCATGGAAGCCCCAAACAGTAGAATGTCAATAGGCCGATGTCCCAAACAGGCCGATCGCGTCTCCACAAGCGATTTCTGCGGTGGACCCATCGTCCAAGGTGCTATCAACAGCCGCCTTGGCGCGCGGATAAGCATACCACGCGAGTCGGAAGGGATGCGACTCGAAGCAGCTGCGACTTCGTCCGGGTTTGAGCATGTTTGAGCACTAGACTATTTGGGCCAATGATTTCCAGCATTCATCTGCATGCTAGAATTGCAGTACGACACATCCTGCAAACCCTGCAGTCCTTGTCATACAGGGCTGCAATTCGGCCACACCACCAGGATTCTGCCGAACGCGTGTGCGAAGCAGTAGTTGCTGGATTTTGGTACATTCTGCACAGGGGGCGGCCAAACGGCAAAAACCGGCAGTCGCGATCCATCCCTACAGGGTCGAGAGATGACCTCATCTTACTGGAGTCGACTCACTGAAAAGAGCACTACCAGGATCATCCTGTCTGGGTGTCCAATAGACTACCCTACCCTACTTATAGGTCTCCATTGGGCACCCATTGGAAGTGCTAGGTTTATACATACTATATACTCCGAGGACCCGCAGGGAATGATTGCAAGCCTTCAGAGAGTGGCTCCCAATCTCATCCGTTGGATGTTAATTACTTGTATAATGGCAACCAGCCTAGGTTACAAAGTCTGATCACTGAGAAATCATCTCGCTGTGATCTTAGTCGAGGCTTCAAACTCCATCCAAGCAAACCCAGGACAACTTTCTTGTGCTGGTTCGTCTTTTGATTGTCGCACCAGGTCTGGGGCCCTAGACCTGAGACGTCGGCAGTGCCAAAAAGTGTACTCTGTGAAGGTTCTTCGGATCGCACAGTGCTGATCCTTCACCTTCATCGGATCGAATCTGCACATCAAAAGCCATTTGCCACTTTGAATCAGGCTTCAATGAAGTTGAGAAGTGAGAATTGGCAAAAGTGAATTAGTCTGAAGCGGATTTTTCACCAGGTGATTTCATGAATTTGCACCTTCTCAAAATGCCACGTGAGAAGCAGTAGGGGTGATAAATTGTCTAAATGTGTGGTATATGATTATCTATTACCAGGCCCCAGTCAGTGGATGATGATGGTTAAGGCACATACCTTTCTCTCAAAATTGTTCACCGACTGGTACGGGTAATAGGACAAACATGAACAAACCCTAGGGTAAAATAAATTATATCCTAGGCCTCCAAGTACCTTCTGAGGTTCGGTGGGACTGAGGTGGGTGCCAGGAGGGTCCAAATACCTTCTGAAGAGGTACTTGGAGGTGTAGGGATATACATACTACGAGGCTCTGGAGCTACATCAGTCCAACTCATCTGCCCCTGGAGCTACATCCCCCCTACAGCAGCCATGAAGTGGAACCCGCGCCGTGAAGTGGTCGTTCGAATGAACTGCCCAGCGGCAAAAGCTCCACCGAAAGGAGCCCAAACAGACCTCAGCACGCGGTCTGAGGTGAGTCACGGTCTGGAACGCGAGGTCACATCCCCTCTCCCGATGTACAGTGGTCAATTCTAATAGACTTGAGAGAGGAGGGGGTGAACGAAAGGTAGCAGGCAATCAAAAGTAACCCTGGTAGAAGTCCATGACGGCGTGAACCGGCGCAGGGCGAATGCTGCAGATCTTTGGGCGAATGCTGAGGTCATCGTTTCTCACCGATGGACGACACCGACCAGCAGTTCTGGGGATCCGGATTGGACACCGTCGAAGCACCGAAGGGCTCTTCGGTTGGGCCTGCTAAGCGCGTTTCGGCGTTTTGATCTACTCCGGGAGCCGGAGCAGGAGAAAAGAAACACTACCTGGCTCCAAGTGGCAGCAGCGCGCATGGAAGAGTGCCGTGAAAGCCTCAGGCGGGACCTTCGTTGGCTTCTTGGACCTGGGTGAAGGTTGAAGGCCGAAGTTGCAGAGCTGGCTTCCGGGAGGGTGTGATGCTTCGTCCGGCTTCGCTGCAAAAAGAGTGGCATAGGAGAAAAGAGTGGCAGTTCCACACTGCACGTGCCCAGAAAAACAAGGTGGAGTGGATGTTGTTTTCCAAGACTGGCCACAGGAATACCTCCACTCAGCAGGCGGTCTGCAGCCTGCCGTCTCAACTGCTCATGAAACCGCCCAGTTCAGAATCAACTAACCTGCACTGGTTGCGGACTGGCTGCGCGGCTTTCTTACCTCAGTGAGCGAAACAACAAAAAACATTGGCTCATAACTGAAACATACCCAGACACTCCATGTATGGCACATTTACATACATTGACCCCCAAACCACTCCAATGTAGGCATATATGGCACACATGGAGTGTTTGGGATACTTATACCAAACCACCCAAATGGTGCTTATCGGATGGTAAAGTACATGCTAGGGGTGTTCTTCGCAAACACCACCCTATGCATGTGGTTCACTGTGCATGCTGGGCTTGGGGCTTTGTGCCTTTTTGCGTCCTTTGTCTCCAACTTCACTCCTTGAAGAGTCATCTTATGGGTCACCGTCCTTCATTGTCTTCGACTCCCTACTAGTAGGGAGGAAAAACGACTTCAAGTTGCGCTTTGATTCTTAGCATGATTTTCTGCGGTGAACATGAGCATGAATCCGCCGGCCTGCCGGCGTGTTTTGTGGATTGTTTTGGTTAGTATTGCTTGTGTTGGTTTCAATCTACGGCTTGTCTCTCCGCGCGGATTTTTCGACAGCCTGACGCCCCCCCCCCCCCGGGTAGTGGTGGTGGTAGTAGTAGTAGTAGTAGCAGTAGTAGCAGCAGTAGTAGGTAGTAGGTAGTAGGTAGTAGGTAGGTAGTCGGTGGTAGGTAGTCAGTAGTCGGTAGTAGGTAGTAGGTGGTACGTAGTAGGTAGTAGGTAGTAGGTCGCTGGATCAGAATAGACAACCATTGGACTGAGACATGTCGATCGCTGGATCAGAATAGACAACCTCTGATTCGGATTCGTTCCATTTCATTGTAAAACGACTTCGCTTGAAATCAACAGCAACAAACTCTCCCAGCAAAATGTGCAACTCCAATGCACCCACAAGTCTGATTGAGCAGGGTATTGTTGTTCGATGTCATTCTGGGTCTTTCATTTCAAACGGTTTGGAGAAAAAACGACAAATCATGCCAGATCTAGAAATTCTTCGGTCGCTTTGAAGCCTTCTGTGTGTGAAAAAGAATATCTGGTGCGTGACGCAATCCCTCGAGACGGTCGAAAAAAAGATCTGAAAAGGAAAGCATGCACACGGCCAAGTAGTTTGGAAGAAGAATCGTTTTCAAGGTCATGTTTTGTGGATAGTCTTGGTTCGCATTGCTTGTGTTGGTTTCACTTGGTTCCTTTTAGGTGATTCGACTGAGACATGCCGGTTCGGATCGCTGGATCAGAA